AGCAACCCAGCCCCCGGCTCAAAAAGGTTGCCTACCCCTGCCATACACTCATACGAAGCATATTAACTTCTTGTCTGTTTTTTAAAAAGAAAACCCTTGTGTGTAAAATAGTGTGAATGTTCCTTTAAAACAACCATGCTTCATTAATCAGAAAGATACAGGTTCTTGTTTCTTAATTATTGAGAACTTCACAGACAGGTTTGCATGTTCTGAATTTTACGTGTGTTGATCATCTCAAGCATGAGAAGAGATGCACATATGAGAGCCCATGGACTCTAATCATTGGAAGGCTGGACTGAGACTTGAGAGATCTAGGCTCAGGTCATCATTAATTTGTGAGATTCACTCACAAGTCAGTCACTCTCTTCCAATTCTCCTCTGTAAAGTGAGAGGATTATGGGATATAAACATAATAAAATAATACAGTTGTCCCTCCGTTTTTGTGGACTTCAGGCCTTTGCAGACTGCCAGAAATAGTGCACTTTAAATTGAAGCACAGCCCTTGCTCAGTGCTAGGGAATCATGGGAACTGTAATGTGGCACCAGAGCTCTCTGACAGAGAAGGCTCAATGTCCCAGAAAAAAATACAATTCCCATGACTCCCTAGCACTGAGCCAGGGCTGTGCCTCAATTTAAAGTGCACTATTTCTGGCAGTCTGCAAAGGCCCTTAGAGTCTGCGTCCCTTGCCCATTTGCGGATGGCAAATGGAAGGGGACAAAATGGAGCATTGCCCATGGTGCACTCCTGCAGGCACCCATGGGTGCACACCTCCGTTCAAGCCAATGGGGCTTGAATATTGCTGGTTTTCATGGGGAGGTTTGGAATGGATCCCCTGCAAAAACAGAGGGGCAACTGTAATAGGGTTGTTGTGAGGAGAAAGTGCAAAGAAAGAGAACCATGTCACCATCCTAGCCTCATTCTCTCTGGCCACCATTGTCTGGAGGGGATGCATCGACACATGTTCCAGCTGCCTTTTCACATTGAGGGCAGAAGGACCAGTTTCCATCTCCAGCAAAAGTCTACTCTGTCTTCCCTGGTTATGTTTAGGCATTCAGTATCCCTGACTGAAACCAGTCAGTGACTGGAAGCATCAAGCTGTACCCAGAAGTCACCTTGGCTTTTCTGGTGGAACCAGAGTGAGAAGTGTTGTGCAAGAAGGTATACCTGGACTACTCTTGCCATGTTCCCCAAATGCAGATTGGGATAACAAGGTGAAGGAGTTCTCTCTCTCTCTCTCTCTCTGGGTGTATGTGTGAATAGAGAATTTATTTGCACATGATGTTTGTTGGGGTGGGAAGAAGCATCATCCAGTGCCAGCAGAGGATAGTGCTAGTTTGTGTGGTCCCATGGCCTTTTTTTTGCATATCTTTTCAACTCAGGTGTGTGTGTGCATCCACGCTGTAGAAATCATGCAGTTTGACACCACATTAAGAGCTGTAACTCCAGCCTATGGAATCTTGGTATTTGTATATAAGGTATTTAGCCTTCTCTGCCAGAGAGTGCTGGTGCTTGTAGGATGGAGCCATGGCAGTTAAAGTGGTGTCAAACTGCATGATTTCTACACTGTAGAATCAGATCCATGCATGAAATGGGGGCATTTTTACTTTTTTCCAGTGGCAGCTTGGGATTTCTATGTCAATTAAGCAGTGAACTTTAAAGTAGCTATCCAGGGTGCTGAATCAGGTTAGCATATAACTTTCAGCACCTTGGATAGTTTCAGACTAAAGTCTGGAGCAGGCTTATGTTTAGATGGAAGCCACCATCCTGTGTTGCCTCCTTTTGTTGGCTTGGTTGTTAGAAGCCATTGCTGATCCTAACAGGAACAGCTTTTTTAAAAGGTGGGAATACAGTAGCTTTCCACATCCCACTAGAGGGCTCCACAAGACTGAAAACCAGGCAAAGGCTGTCTGAGACACAAAGCTCTCCCTCTAATGATAGAAGTCATAACTTGGTAATTTGCTAATCAGAGTGATGGGCCTTTTGTCTTTTTGTGGGTCAGACATGGGCGGCTCACAATATGCTCTAGCCTTTTGTTACACTTAATTCCATTTATGTCTTAATGTTTTATTCATTGTGTTACATTTGTGGATATTATTGCCATACTGCTGCAGTTGTTTCACTTTTTTTTTCTTTTAAAAAAGCTAGCTACAGAGGAAGGCCGTGCCTGCAATTGTATTCAGTGATAAGGTGAAAGTAGCACATCAGTCTAATAAAATGGATTCTTTGAAACAAGATAATTCTTGATTTGAGAACATACATGTTGCTGAAGGATAAAGATGAGAAGAAGGAGGGGCTGAATCTATAGTTTTTATCTATTTTAAATGCTATAGGGAAGGTACAGCATAGGTTTTGATAAAGCCTTCAATTTAAATGCATAGGTATACTTTCCACTGGGAGCAATTCAATGTTAATTTGGTCTTTTATAATGTAAAATATAGCCTCTGGTATAGTTTCTCAGAATGTGCACTTTACAGTGGGCTCCTGTAAGAATAGATTTATGTATTCAAGGGAACTGAAAACAAATTACCAATTGGATGATTAATGTGTAGGTTTCCTGGGTCAGGATTCCTAACGATTAGCAAAATTCCTTTTAGAAGGAACGGGTGAATGTTCAAATGATCAAGGAACACAAGCTGCTTTTTACTGACTCAGACTTTTAGCCTGCCTAGCCTTGTTTCAACAATACTGACTGACAGTAGCTCTCTAGGGTTGTAGGCAAGAGTTTCCCCAGTCCTACCTGGAGATGGCAGGGATGGAACCTGGGACCTTTGGCATGCAAATCAGGTGCTTTGCCACTGTGCTATAGGCCATTCCCCTCACTTTACCCATTCATACTTACCCACCTCTGACTGAAGTGTCTTTCATAGTATTCTAGTTTCCTGCATGGTTAAATTGATCACATTAGCATGCATTGTTGTGTATTACACTAATTTTCTACTTAGTATTGCTTTTCGGGTGTGCCTTTGGCCAGTTTTCAGATAAGAATCACCTGCAAATCAATGCATCTGGGGGGTTTTGGAGGGCTTCTGGAGGACTTAATAGAATCATAGAATCATAGATTTAGAAGGGGCCTCATGGCCCATTGCACCCCACTGCCTGGTTAATGAGGGGTATCTAGTTAAAACATTCACAGCAGGAAGGAGAGCCCAACATTTCTCTAGGCAATTGGTTCCATTGCTGAACCACTCTTACTGGCAAGAAGTTCCATCTAATGTTCAATCAAAATCTACCCTCCTGTAACTCAAAACCACCTGTTAGAGTCTCAGTGCAGCATGCAGGCTATGGGCCATGCTTTAGCCACCCCTGCTCTTATAGGAGAAAGAACCTGAGGTAGGCTAGATTTAGAGAATGACAGCCCTAAAGGTATATAAGGGATATGAAGCCATGTCTTCCCAGCCTAAGGCCAAGGAGCTAACAGCCCTTTGCTAGCTCACGATCCTGGATATGTCCTAATATAGTGCATATTATGCTGTGTTCTGCACCTCTTTATGGTATATACGGTATGTCTGTTTGTGTGTCTGTGAACCTGTGTAACTCTAGTTGGATTTATCACCGAGGCTTCCTAGGTCTTTGAACTCTTCTTGGGAATGCAGGTGGGCCTCTTTCATGACAATCTGAGGTCTGTATTTACTCAGGAACCTGTGTGTTTAAAAATTGGCCTGGGTTTTCACAGAGTTGTTACTTCATTTGTCTCACTATACACCCAGGGCCTAGTAGAGGTAATCTGATACCTGTAGCATCTTTTGTTGTTGTTGTTGTTGTACCTTTAAGTCATTTCTTACTTATGGCAACCCTAAATCAAACCTATTATGAGATTTTCTTGGCAAGATTTTTTTCAGAGGAGGTTTGCCATTGCTTTTTCTCTGAGCTTGAGAGAGTGACTGCCCATGATCACCCAGTGGATTTCCATTGCTGAGTGATAATTGAACCCTGGTGCCTCAGAATCTTAGTTCAACACTCAGATAACTGTACCACGCAGACACATTGGTTTATTTGCTGTTGTTAACTGCCTTTGAGTTGACTTTGACTCACTGGTAACAATGACTAATTCATTCATTTTGCAAATTTCCCTCTTGAGACAGAGTCTAAACTGCAGACCCGTTGACCCCAATATTCATTTTTTCTGTTGGAAATGTTTCTGTTTCTCCAATCCAACTTTTTGCCTCTAGCTTGATGAAGAATTCTGAGAAACCTGAAAGCTTGCACATTTCTCTGGCATTTTTTCCTTAATTTTAGTAAAAGTTTCCCTCAGTTCCACCACTAACCCATCGAGTAGAGAGCCAG